AGTTGTTTGTTTTGAAGTTTTGCTAAAAATTCCACAGCTATCCTCGCAAGAAATTACATGATTTTAGGTGATTACACAAAAAATAGTAGATAATTTAAAAACTAGAAGAGGTAGGTATATGGAACCCTGATACCGTTCGAAAGAGAATAAAATTGTGTATCAGAATATAGAAAAACATACAGGGTGTACCATTTAAACAAACCGACTTATGAAGGTTTGAAGTTTACTAAACTCGGCCACTTTGAAAGTATGGATGGGAAGCTTAGGGGTCTAGCTATCCCCCCTATAAATATTGTTGCTTTATCTTTCTTACTATAAAATACACATGGTTTGAAGCTAGTCACTGTTTCTCTCGATTTTTTTGAAAAAAAAAATAAATACCTATCTCGAAAACGGTTAATTTTAGGAATAGGGAAACTTCTTAAAAACCACCTAAAATAACACGTAGAATCCAAAATTTCAATAATATATAGGGTGTACCATTTAAAATAAGTAAGTTGATGGCTACTTCCGGTATAACCGGTGGACGCCATTATTTTAGTTGAGAAGGGCATGCTCGAAAACCCGGTATCCCAAATTTTCAAAATTCTAATCGAAGTAGTCTCTGAAATAATTCTAATGGGCCGTCACCGTTAGACACCCTGTTATATCAACTGTATTAAATTTCTCTTTGTGATATTGCCACTGGTGATGTAAAAAAATTTCCACCGCATTGTTTATGAATTTACTTCGTTCGATTAGCAAGTTAACTGATTCCATAAAAACGCCGTTATTTTGTACAACAGGTGAGTCCTCGTTCCGAGTCTTCGAATTCATCATTCTATGTCCTTCACTGCGAAGGACCAGGTCTTCCATTAGCAGCAATGCACAACGTGAGCACGCACAAGGTTGTAAAAATCCTGTACGATACGCGGCCGCAACTGTGGCCACTGTTGGAGAAGTACGCCATGCCCAAGAAAAAGTCTTTCGAGGTGCCTTTGCCCCAAGGTAGTAGGGCTCAAGTACAACTACTGCTTCCCCCGTCTTGGAGGGCGGAACTGAGAGACGCGGCCTATCCTGTCCTAGTTGAAGTGTAAGTACTTGACTGTTTTAAGCATCATTAACGAGCTGGACATTTCTACAACCATCAATATGTTAATGCAAACACACAGTGTGCCTAAGGAATAATATGGCCTATGTACTTGGTTGCCACCAGTTACAGAATTACCTTTCACTTCCTTACTCTTAGCTAGGAATCTTTGACCTGGTCTTGTTATTCTCGTGCTAGGCTCTGTGGGGGCAGACCTGCTATTAGAACCCCTAGAGGCCCGTCCCGATGTTCATCTCGATTCTGGTTGGGTCTTAGGCAATAGTGACGTTCTAAGACTTACCGTAGTGCCCTCTGCAAGTGGTCGCATCCAATGCTTGAAACGTTTTGCCGTTCTTCATTGTCGGCATCTTCAGTGATGACTTTGCAAAAGCATTTCGCCAGACCGTTTCAGAGGATTACCATTTCCTGAGGCACCGTTCCATATGTAGCGGCCTTAGACCCAATAGAAACCGAAATGAAAATCAGAGCAGGCCTAGACATTCTAATAGCGGGTCGGTCCCCACAAAGGCTAGCTCAAGAACAACAAGAGCGGGTCAAAGATTCCTAGCCGGGGCTAATGTTACTATATAATTAATCATGTAATAGTTGCCATAATCATTAAATTGTGTCAACAATAACCCTACTACATCTATGATTTACGTTGAGAGATTGACTAAATCACTTTTAAGGACGTCACTAAGCGATGACATGTCAGTTGTGAGGCTTTATATTATAGGTAGTAATGCTCATAGTCATTTAATTTATTTTTCCCAGTAATGGCAGGCCAGGCAGCAAATCAGTGACCGAACAATTCAAGGTGGACTGGGGTACATACATGTCCAGCCACTGCGACGTTGTTTACGTCAAGCTCGACGTACGAGGCGCTAGGGGGCAAAGTGACCGCTCCATTTACCATCAACTGGGAGGTGTCGAAGTGCAAGACCAGGTTAGATGGGCCCTTTAACATCCGCGGGATTTAAGATATATAAAAAAGTTTAGCTCGATAGTTCGCCGTTTCTGGGAGAACATATTATTTTGTTCTTCTTAATTTCTAAACTGTTAGTTTATTCCTTGTAAATACTACAATTTGGGCCATCTTGGAAATCAGATATTTTTATAAGATCTTTCGGGCTGCATTAAAATTAAATTATTACTGAAATTATTTGAAAACTCGTTTTGGGATATTAACAGAAGTCTATCAATAATATTAAATATTAGTGTTGAAAATTTATAACCATTCCATTGTAACTATATATCTACTAATCGTACTAATTGTAATTTTAAGGTGACAGTGTTAGAACATCTCTTGGAAAAGCACAAATACCTCGACAAAACTCGTGTAGGACTTTGGGGATGGGGTTATGGCGGTTACGTTACTGCCATGGTGCTGGGACTGGGCAACCAGCAAAAAGTGTTTAAGTGTGGTATTGCTGTCAGTCCGATAGCTGATTGGTTATACTACAGTGAGTACAAAACTTTTTTTATTGAAAATATATATTTTTTATAAAATTCCCACAATATACGACTATAAGGAATTGCCTCAGATTCTGTTGGTGTCAAAGAAAAACGATTTAACTGAACTTGTCTCTATTTGTCTCTATTTAAAGTTGCCACGTTTAGGTACAAAATGTCACTTAATCAACTTTAAATCTATGATTCAGTCATTGTAATAATAAACATGATAATCATTAACTATTATTCTTATTTGAATAAGCATTCAATTAGATAATGATGAGAAATACTATTCATAGTTTTCAGGATGAGGAATATCGGAAATATGTATTTTTTTCTGAATTATGTGTTATTGAAAATGATAATAATTTGGAACGATTTTTGTAAAAAAGACTTTTCAAAACACGTTTCTGAACTCCACAAAACCTACATCCTGTTATTCAAAACTAAAAATTTGTTGTCAATTCTGAAGGCCTCTAGCAGGTAAATGAAGTATATATGGCATTGTAGGAAACTATTAGATACTGCAAGTGTAATTCAATGCTGAATGGGATTGCAGCCGCCAGAGTAGTTGTTTTCTACAATATCATTATTTAAAAAGATAACAATATTCTGAACAAATTTCCGTATAAGTATAAAATCTGCATTATAAATTCACTTTTAATATACTTACTTTATCTTACGACTCTTGTGAGTATTATTGTAATATTATCTATATTTCAATTTATTATTTTCTAATTTGCGTCAATATATGTGTAAAGAAACTTCTGACTATGAGACTGATAAAGCAAATCGATATTCTTGAAAAAAATAGCATTACTGATGACAACCAAATAACATTGAATTAGAAACAAATTATGGAGTCAATTGATTCAAAATATTGATAGCATAATTTCAAAGGCAAGAATACCTTTTTATTTTTTGAAAACATTTCGGACACTAGATCGATTCGAAAATAATTTAATTTCAATTCTTAAGATTATTCTATAATAACTTACCTTATTTAAAAACTGGCAAAAAAGAAACTTTTCTGTAAGTTATATAAAAATTAATAAAATAGTAAATTTTTATTTTCAAAAAAAAACGGTAAGGTGATTAGAAATACATTTTTTCGAAATCTTTATTAACAGTTATATAACTTCAATTTATTTATTTTTTTTCAAATAAATGTTTTAAATTAGACTTTGCCATAAGTTCTTTAGACAAAAGATTTTTTCAAATGTTACACTTTTATCACTGCTTCTAGAAAAAAAAAGCATTCAATCTTTAACTGCTCATAATTGATTAGAGAATTGATCAAAACTTGACATTATTTCTTTTCAGAAATACATTATTAGTAATACATCGTACAACAAAATCGTCCTCTTGTTTCAAATACGATTCAGAAGATTTTAATTTGTAGACATTTATGTGCATGTAACATAACTTTTTTATGCTCCATTTATACTGAAAAATAAGCAAAATATTCTTATAGTCTGCAAAACGGCAAAATCAACATTTTTGTATTAAAATCATTAACAGCGAGCAGGAAATAAATATCAACAACTATTTAAGGTATTTTACAAACTATGTATGATATACATTTTCCAGATATATTTCAGTAAAGGCAATTTAACTTCAAAGAGCCTCATTTCAATTTGATTCTAATAAGGCCTTATTTATATTTCACGTTAGAAAAATGATGTCGTTTTTAAAGCCTATATTAACTTGATTTTTTTTCTGGAATAGTTTGAAAAAACCTTGAAATACATCTGATAGTTTCTGAAATACATATGATATGTTATGAAATACAAATGACAACTAAAATAAAATTGACATTTTCTAAATTAAAACCGACTATTCTTAAATACAATTTACATTTTTTGAAATACAGGTAAATCCAATTTGTTTAAGCCCTGAGGGAAGGATGTGCAGTGGCAAAGTAGGGGAGTGACGAACGAGGCCTATATGGGTCCCTTCCTGCCTGAATTTTCACTCAATATCTTTGATTTGTACATTTATGAATTCAAGTGAAATTTGTCCAGTTGTGACTACATGAGCCTGAGCTGAAATCCCTCCTAGCCTTTCTGAGATAAAATTGACTAACTTGAAGTACAATTTTAGCTGTAGTTTTCTGCACAAAACGAAAAGTTCTGATAACAACCCAATCGAATACAACGAGAGAGCGAATATAGAAGCGAAATCTTCTGTTTTCATGTATACTCCAATCGATTTAGAGTTTGACCTTAAATTTTTATTACATTTTGTGACGGTGAATGATATGCAGAATGATAATATCAAAAAACTAACTCGAAACAAGTGCCACTAAGTTGGCAAATTGCAGATAAGTTGTAAAATTACGTGTTTTTTTTATTTTTTTTACTGCCCATGAAAATCTGGACGATCTATCGGAAAATTAGTCATTTTATGTAATAGGTAATTAAATTAATAATTATTAATTATTATTTGTTAACTGTAAAATAAAGGTCGAAAATTGCGCAATATTATTGCTAAAAGCGATGGATGTTGACGAAATTTATTAAAAAGACGGTCAATCCAAAGCCCAACATGTGTGCCAAAGGCCGATTCGACTGACCATGAAATTGTTACTCCAGGTATTTGTTAATAATGAATTAATCGTTCGTTCTAATTGATCCAAAGAAACATATCGAAAAAGAAATATTTCAAAATGTTGAAATTAAGTAGCTCTTTAACTAACAAAGTAGGACTTGCAAAACAGCGTTATAATCAAGTTGTCACAGGGTCAGGCAAATGCCGCTCGGGAATTCGCTCTTTCTGCATTAAATAGAGCTTATTTTTATGGTACTTTATAAAAAATGAGAAATCACCTACGCCTCTTTGTTCCCAAGATAACTTTTTTATAACATTAATTGTAATTACCTATTGGACGTATCGGACCGGGATTTTAGAGATAAATTAAAGAAAAGGTTAAACTTTCATTTTCAGAAAGGTTTACATTGATAGTTCATGTAATAAACGTGCTACCAGTAGTAAAATTTAACGCTAATGAACAGCCTGAACGCGAGAGGAGCGCCGGGCGGGGCTCGCGCATGCGCGTGAACGCCGCTCTCGGCGCGTGCGAGATTTTTGACTTGAACGTATCAAATTCGATTAAAAAAATGTACACATGTTGGTCATTAGACTGACAGTCCCATAAATTTCATCAACATCCATTGCTTTTTGCAATGATAATTCCGAAAACTGATTTTTCCACGTTCGACCTTTATTTTATAGTTAACAAATAGGTGAAAAATTACTTTAGATACCTTAATAAGCTCCGTAAATAAAATTAAGTATAAACAATTTACGCATTTTTAAAAAAAGTCGTACAAACTAAAGATACTTTCTCTCATTCCAGAGAAATTATTATTCATCAAGCAACGTTTTATAATGTGTTGATATACAGTATTTTCGTGACTTCTCACGAATTTCCGCCGAATGGTCACTGCTTGCTAATAAAAATTTTTTAGATCTTGAAATTTTAGTTTCGAAGCGATTCTAAAAAAGTCTAAAGCCCCCTTGCCAGGATGAAATGCATAACTCTAATCCGGGTTATAAAACTGTAACAGCCCCAGTTTCTACGTCATTAAACCAGATCCGAAGTTCTAGTGTGCGGCCGTAAAAGGATCACATTCTTTACATTATCGAACTGTTTTCATATATCAAACCCCGGGCGCGGTGCCTTAAATGAAAACCTGTTCCAGACTCGGCGTTCACGGAGAAAATCCTGGGCCTGCCCACCGAGAATTACAAGGGCTACGTGGAGGCGGATGCGACGCAGCGTGCGCGGAACATCCCCAAGAAGTCCTTCTTCCTAATGCATGGCCTGGCCGACCTCACGGCCCCCTATCAGCACGGGGTGGCGTTGGCGAGGGCTCTCGCCGAAGCAGGTATCCTTTTCAGGTATCAGGTACGTACCAGTTGATTTGTGATGGCGGTTTAATACGGGGAATTACAAAATGCAAATAATTAAATTTTCTACAGGGTTATTCTCATAACATTCTACCCCCTTGTTTTTTTTACCTTTCTACCTAGGAAAGAAATGTAAAGAATCGAGTTTTAGGAAATTTTCTTTCAATGTCAAAAATACAGGATGAGTTTTTTCCGATGTTTAGTGTAGGGATCTGGCAAAGTAGCAGATATACAAAAAAGAGGAAAGATATGCAGTTTTATGATCCTTATTAAATGTTACTTTTATTTTTTGAAAAAACGTCATGGCTGACTATATATTTGGAAAAATCCAAATTCGGACCAATTTTTCCGATGCGTGTAGCTCCGTTGCGATTTATTTTACAAAGTTAGGTTATAACATAAACTTCAAGTTTTTTAAATGTAAATGAGCTAGGAAAAATTATCTTTTTTATACTTTCCAACGATATAATAAATCGGTATTGTTATTTTGAAAAATGGAAAAACTGTAGCTGTTTTTAACTTTTCAGTTGCTCGCTGACGTAGATGGCTGTGAAAACAATCAAAATGTTTACTGATAACGCTTTTAGTTACTGTAGCATTATTTGACAGTACTTTTCTTTCTTAAAAGTTGTTTCAATTGCCAAAGACAATGAATTTTTCAAACGAGGAAAAGCGTAATATTATTGAGTGTTATATTCGTTCAGGAAACTTTTGACAATATTGATACGCGTTCTGTGAGAAAAGCGTCAAATTCTGTTTAAAAAAAATGTATCTTATGTATTAATAATAACGGTGGGGGTTTTGAACAATTTCTTTAATAACTTTAAAGTAAATAATGGTTTTTTCATATAATTCTGATATTTTTTGGGTCTTTGTTAAGTATTTCATTTACTTACCACAAACGATTTCCATCATTATGAATGATTTAAATTCTTTATTCTTTACTTTATTATTATTGTCTCATTTAAAATATGCCAGTCGCACACTGATCCGGTGCCCTGACATACAGAGGTACGCACATGATGCTGTCTTCATTGTTCTGATTTTATTGGCTGGATTGCGTATAATTTTCGCAGTCATCAACGAGCAAATGAAAAGTTAAAAACGGCTGCAGTTCTCTCATTTTTCAAAATAACAATACCGAGTATTACCTATATCGTTGGAAAGCGTTTTCTAGCTCATAGCTAACTATGGTTTACATTAATTTAAAAAACTTGAAGTTTATGTTATAACTTGAAAACTAAAGTGTGCACGAACAATTTGATCACACTGTCTTATTAACACTATAACACTGCAAAAACGTGAAACTTTGTAATTTATTTTTTTTTTGTAAAATAAATAGCAAAGAAGCTACACGCATCTGAAAGAATTGACCGAATTCCGATTTTTCTTTCAAATATCTAGTCAGCCATGACGTTTATTTAAAAAATAAAAGTAACATTTAATAAAGATCATAAAACTGTACATCTTTCCTCATTTAGGTAAGCTTTTTTGTATCTCTCTTTTGCTACTTTCGCAGATCCCTACACTAAACATCGAAAAAAATTCACCCTGTATATAAACAAAAGTTTGGTTTTTATTCCCTAAATGCAACTGTTATTTTATATATTTCTTTGAAATCGCAAGAAAATTTCGGAAAAGCTTGGTTTTACCATTTTTCCCTTGATTGAAATGTGAAAAAGATATGGGATGGTAGAATCTTATGGGAATAACCCTGTACAGGGTGATCCACTCTATTTTGACCGCTCCCCCCTTAACTTTTTGGTTTTAGATTTAGATTAGATTTAGAATTACAGGATATCTTGTTTTCTTAACAAAAAAACCTTCTTTTCATTTTTTAATAATATCTCACTTGTTGTTAGAGATGGGCCCAACAAACCCTATATGACTATGCTCGATATGGAACGTTCTATCCAAATATGTAAAAATATACAGTGAGTTATATTTAAATGAACATAATTAATATCTGCGGCCATTTTGTTTGGACTTAATTTGTTTTTTTTTTTAGTATCATTTTCAAAAACTCCATAAAAAATCGTGCGACTGTATTTCAAATTTGTTTATAACTCTAAAAACAAGTTAATGGGGGGGGTCAAAATAGAATGAATCATCATGTACAGGGCGTTTTTGAAATGGGCACTATAAATTCAGGAGCTGATAGAATATCAAAAACTAAAATGATTCTTTTTGTAAACCATGGGCTTATCGATTCCTTTTCGAGGAAAAGGGCGTTAAAGATGATTCTTTAAAATCACATTTTTGGCTTATCTTCTCCAAAATAAAGTTGATATACTTAGTTTAGTTTTTAAGAGTACTTACTTCTATCTTAACCAGTGATATTTTCAGACATTTATTATTATTTATTAGTATTTTTGAGGTTAAGTTTCTTACGGCGTACATTATAGATACATCATAATGTAAAATTTCAATAAGATAATTTTGTGTGTAAAATTTAATTTTACATTATAGCATCGCCACGGTAGCGCAGTCGGTAGAGAGTGCGGTGGCAAGCATTTCTCGGCTAGGCTTCCTACTCTGGTCCGGGTTCGATCCCCGGTGTCGACACTGGCAATGTCGATGGATAATGGGTGTTTGTCCGCGTTTTTTGAAGTGTCCCTTGTCCCTTCCGCACAAGCCTTTGGCTTTGGATTAGGGGGTTGTCTCACTTCTGTGGTGTGTCTCATGTTAAAAAAAAATTATATATATATATATATATACGACATAAACCATAAAAAACATAACTTCATGTCGTGAAATTTTACAAAATTATCATTAACGCCCTGTATCTCAAAAATAAGGAATAGAAAAGAACACATTTATTTTTTGATATGCCATATTCCTGAATTTATGCCTCATTTTCCAAAACATCCTATGTGTAAACATTAATAGGTAAAAATTAGAGTCAAAAAGTCTATAAACTCTTCCATATTTTTCCATAAAATTTCCATTCATTGTTAATATCGTTTCAGCGTCTTACCTGTCGCCAATATCTTAAACTAGTTAGCAAGACATTTTTGAGACTACAATTTCAAAGCTTTGAATTTCGAAATACAGGCTATTTATAAATTTGGTGATGATATATATTAACGAGTACATAAAGATCTTAAAACTCAATTGGCAGAAATATTTTTGCAAGTAGAATATGTGTTTTTAATGCCTACTGACTTACCACAATAATACAAAGAAACACTTTTGGAACCACTGAGCCCATTGTTGGCTCTGTTTGCACAAATCACTCTATACATAATGTGCAATTAACCCACAGCTTTCATCAGCATTTCTATGTATTACCACCATATCGATTAATTCATTGTTACTTTATTGATAGGACATTTTATATTTATTCGCACTTATTAATACATGCCAGATAGACTAGTATTAAAAAAAAAAAGAAAACACAAGAATGCAAAAAAATTAATGACGTTTATTTTGTTTCCTAATAATTTCGTTACTGCTGTATTCAACAATTTGATTTATTGTATGATGTCCAGTATTATTTTGCAAAACACGATGGTATAAACACCCAAAAGTAATCAGATTTACGACTCAGTAACTGATAAACTAGACATTCAGGAAAATAAACAACTGAAAGATTATACTGTTCCTGTCAAGCAACTGATTGATTAATAAAGAAAACAAATCATATTTCCGAATATCATGGATGTGATCTTGTTCCGTTATACGGATAGGGTGATTAACTTTTTATGATTAGGACTTTCTGGATTTGATATTTGGTTCTACCAAGAAAAAAATATCTATTTTTAAATCTATCTTAAACTTTTGAGTGTTTTGTACTCAGGATTTTCTCCATTTTGAATGGTATTAAAACTAGCTAAATCTTCACTGACATTGAACGTTATACTTTTAGAGTTATGCTGACGAAGGGCATCAGCTGGAAGGTGTGTTAGAACACGTGTACCGGTCGATGCAAACTTTTTTTGAAGAGTGCCTTAATCTCGACACTGAAGAGAAAATGAAGGAGAGAGAAGAAGCGAAAAAGGAAGAAGCCAAGAAGTAGTTCTAGAAACGCTCCCTTACCATCACCCGATGGCCTTTTAAAGACTGTATCTCAATAACTACCGTCTCAAAAACAGAAATCAGTGGATTTCGTGTGTGGACAATGAGGCGGACGTTTAGTGAAAGGCCGGCTTCCCGGTTGGCCAACACAATCAATTGTTTATATCAAAAATAGCGCAACATAGTGAGTTGACAGTGTTTAGTATAAAAAAGGAATTAGTTTTAATTTTTTTCCATGTTAAAATTTGAACTGAAATCGTATTTTGTAATGTAGTTTGGATAGTCTAAGTCTTTCCTCCTTTTACTAATCTAACGATTCGAAAATATTTTAGTGATATGGTTATAAGGCAGGGACAATACAAGTGCAATATATTGCTGATCTACTGGTACGTGAAGAACAAAATAGATCATAATTTCTTCTTTCTACGCAGGTAGGCCTAACATTTACTAAATTTTGTTCTCCACGTCCATCTTAAAAATTAGCCTTACGATACAGGGTAATTCTTTGTGCTGTGGCACATTTTTTTTTATTCAGTGACTATATTACTATTAATCTAACTGCGACTTTTATATCCAAAAGAGTTCTTTATTTTGAATTCGATCAAATTTTGGGTATTTAACAATATGAATAAACGTAACAACATAGTTTTCAGTTGATTGGCACAATGTACAACATACACAAGATAATATGTACTCATAGTTGTCTTGAGTATGATGCACTGCACAATATTCATCTGATATCCACAGATTGATTTTTTTTATTCTATCAGGCCCGCAACAATTTCTTTAAAATTGAGCTATTAAAATTTGAAGGGCTATTTAAATTATTTTCGTATTCTCTAGCCTTTTCTCGACTATAATTTATAAAGTGGTGTAAAAATGTATTTTAACTTGAAAAGTGACAATTACAACATTATATGATGTTATTGGTAACGCAGTTGGGGAACTAAATGAAAATGAAGAGAGCTAATCATAGATTTGTTATTTAATTTTAGGACTCAACTAAGAATACAGTAGAGAATGATCATGGACATGAATGATGCCTCTCATTTATTTAAAATAATTTTTCTCTTAAGTCTTAAGTAAATATGTTGAAAAATTCATAACTGACATGATAAGTGAGTACATGTCGTAGAGGCAAAAAACACTGCAATAAAAGTTTTTTAAGAAAATTCGTGTATTTCCAAACTTCTATTGGAAGCTATTATAGTATATTCAAGGTGATTAGTTAAGTTGTGGTCAGGAATATAATTCCTTTTATATTGTTTTTTTTTCGGAGTCAAATTAAAAAATATATCCTGCACGAATTTTTCCCTAACACTTTTAGCTTCCTTCTTAAATATAAGGTACAAAATTCTTGATCAGTTTTATATACAGAACATCCTAAAACTAGTTTTATAAGTTACAATAATAACAGAGAACATCAGAAACATACAGAATAGATGTCTTACGTATTTTAATTAAATCAAGCAACTAGCGCATCCACCATTTATACAAAACAGTTTGAAAAGTTTGGATGTAACAAACCATTATATATATTTAAAATAGTTAAGATTTTGCAATTAAAGTAGACAGTCGTGTTAATAGAGTCAAATAAAAACTTGTTACACCTGCACTTTTTTCTAAAATGCCCAAAGTGGGAGAATAAAAAGTTTTTATTTTGATCCATATAACACACCTGTTTAATTTTAAAATTTCGGCATAAGTACCCAGATTTCAGTTTGCTACAGTTTTTTCCTTTCGTTAGGTATTAGTTTACGGTTTGCATTAATTGAATCAAAGTAAAAACTTTTTATTCTTGCACTCTTTTCCCTAAAATGCATCCTTGAGAAGTTAAAAGATCAAAATTGGTTAAAAATGACCAAGGAGGCATTTTAGAGGAAAGTGCGGGAATAAAGTTTTTATTATTACCCTGCTAACACGTCTGTGTACTTCAATTTCAAAATCTTAACTATTTTAACAAAAAATGGAGATTTTCACTGATTTTGACCTATTTTTTGAGGTTAGGAAAAGTCCTAACGTCAAAATACAGGTATCATATTCTGTTAAAAGGTATATGAAAAAAAAAAATTGCACTGTATAATAAATTGTACCTATTATTTGTATTTATTTTCCCTTTTTTTAATTTTTACATTTTTTAATCCTAAATTTTGTAGGTGTTAGCAAATAAATTTGACAGATAAATTTTGACACATGTACAAAAGACTACCTGTATAAGTAAAAAAACATATAAAATTCGCATGTTTAGTTCAAATTAAAGAGACCCTACGAATGTGTATATTTGATTAAAGTACGAATTTTTTTCGTACTAATTTTTGAAAAATTGTTTTGCTAATTATTTGGCGTATTAATAATTTTTTAATTATTAAATATTAGTTGCTTAGAAAACACTTTTCCAGCATTAATGTAGAGAAAAATAAATAAACAATAAAATAACAAAATATTGAAATAAACGAAAATATATCATCATATTTTAGAATCTGTAAAGAAATTTAAAAAATGAGTACACCTTTATAGAAATTTATATGGGGTTATTTTGAGGAGAATAAAATAACGCCATGATTAAAATTCAAATGACAAAAATTACTTACACAATTTTTAAAAAATTGACACCAAAAAAATTTGGATTGGGATTCGGATTTTAACAAGTTGTAGTTTTCAAATGTGCTCATTTTTATGGTGTATTTAAAAAAGTACATTTAACTTTCAATTTTTTACTGTGTTAATGTAGGTATATGAAACAAGAAGATTGACTTGTTTCACTATAAGGAACAAATTTATCTTTGTTTAATTTTTTTAAATTTCGAAATTTCACTTTTAAATTTGAACGTTAATTAATTATATTATCAGGTTAAATGGCAATTAGATATAATAATTAAACAAAAGTGTATACAAAAAATATTAAAAAAACAGTCATGCAGTTGATTTGACTCATTTGGAATTAAAATTATCATAAATTAAAAAATTATACTAATTATATTTTATTGACAATGAAAATTATAATTATGATGTACCGAGCCTGTTGTTTTTGGTAACAACAATCATGTATTAAGCCTTGTACAACTTTTAAAAACTCACAACATGTGAGTTATATACAACTTTTTTACTGAACAATAAGATAAACGCTCATTTGTTATTATTTTAGACACTTTACCTCTATAAAACATATCTCAAATATAACAAAATTTTTGAAAAAAAATATCTGCAATTCTTCAACACATTACAGTCCGTACGATATTTGTTTCGATAGAATTTCAAGGACACTTGCGAAGAAACACACGCCTTCCCAACTGCAATACACAGTATGCACTGCAAGTTGCATGCCCCGCCCCCAATGTCTTTCTACCTCGGGTATCGAATGCAGTTAATTCCAAGAAAGTGACGCAGGGGTCTTCTTGGAATTCTATCTCAACAAATATTGTACGGGCTGTAACTCTGATTTGTTCCCATTTTGTACAAATTGTACTACCTTACATTTCATTTGTTCATGGAAGTCGCATGGAAACTATTCGCCACGTTTCCAAATATTCTTTGAAGTCGTCTTACTAAAATTACAGGTTTCTTTACTTTTTCTTGTCAACAATATGTTGCACTAGTACGTGGCCCGAAAATATCTAAAAAATTCCTCTTATCTAACACTAAATCTAATTTCCTGTTGCCCTTGCGTTTAAAAATAGTACAGAAAATGTCAATTATAACTGTTTCAAAATTATCGTCGAATAATGTTAAATAGGAAAAGAAAAATGTAAATTAAAGATACGACTTACAAGTTAATTCAAATTTGAGCTTCGATATTAAAAAACTAATCAATAAAATGGTTGTGAAAAGTGACTAATGAACAATTTAAGCATTTAAATAATTAAAATATATATAGTGTAAATTTTTGCTTAGATCTATTAAAATAGAGCTGTGCTTTGTCCACGGCGAACAAAGAGACAATCTTTAAATGGTTGAAAGTTCTATATCTGAACATTTTCTACGTAAGAATCAATTAAGTATTTAAAATTAAAAAATCTATTGTTAGCAAACTGTTAATTATTGTCCAAAATCTTGCTCTTCCTAAATATTCGATAGTGCTGATATACAGATTAAAAGAAACTCACAATAGACAATTAAATTTTTTAAGTTTAAATTTTGATATGCCTATTTGCGCTTCATAATATACAATTAAACCAGGAGAAAACCACAGAAGTAATTTAGTGTACAAGTAAGTAATATTTGAGTAATGCTGAGTATTATTTGGTAGTCCAATTAAATAAGACTTTAAATCGAAATTTTGGTCAACTTGCCTGGATTTTTGATATGAGTTAATTTGAGGAATGTTATAACAATAAGTGACAGTAATTTTTTGTTCAACCCCCGGCCAAGGGTGAAAAAAGATAAAACAAAGGGATTTTTCAAGATAACTCAAAACGGGTAAGGGCTAGAAAAGTTGTAAAGCATACAATTCTACATAAAAATGGCCTCTTGACTTTTTCTTGTATTATTAAAATTAAGAGAGTTAGGCAGGCTAGAAGTTAAGGGAAAATTTCAGAAATTTTACAAAATTATAAGCAGAAAAATGAATGAATTTTGTAATTTTTTTTCGATCTACTCTATAAAATGTAACCTTTCTTTTCAGAGAAATAGATATATGTTTTCATTTTTAATAAGAAAGTTATAACAATTTTAAATTTGAAATTCACCCCCCTAAACAGAGATATTAACGAAAACCTCGAAACAGGTGAATTTAATTTTATCAATTTGTTTACATAAAACATATTTTTAATTCTTTTTGAGTAAATATGATTGTTTAATAAATAAAAAATATAGTTTTTCTGAAATAAAAAATAAGGGTAGCAACCCCCAAACACGGAATCACTTGAGAAATATTGTTTTTTATCATAAGTAATTTCCATTTTGTTTCATTTCAAAATATTGATTAGAACCCCAGAAATTTTGAAAAGACTGCTTTAGGGGGCAAACTTTGAGGGTGTATTTCACCCTGTAAATATGTTCTTCTGCCGATAAAAAAAATACGTGT